GGTCCGTTTGGATTCCTTGTTTTTGCTACTGTTTTTGAAAAACTGTTTTTCACATTCCAAATGCTACAGTAAATGTGTATTTCCAAAACAACTCCAAAAACACCATATCCAAACATTATATCAAAAACAACTCCATATGTATATTTCAATTATGTATATTATATATATATATATATATATATATATATATATATATATTATATTAATATAAATTGAAATATACAAATTGAAAATTATATATTTATATATTATATATTATATAAATATTTATATACATTAATATTATACATAATATTGTATACTATACATAATATAATATAATATACATAATATAATATACAAAATATGTAATATTGTATACATAAATGTATAAATATTTATACATAATATATTATGTACATTATATTATAATATAAACATTATTAATGTATAATATTATTATGTACATTATTGTGTATAATAATGTTATGTATAATATATAATATACATAATATGTAATAATGTATAAATGTATTATATTATGTAAGGTATATTATATTATGTGTATTATATTATATATATACAATATTATGTATATTATACAAATTGAAAATTATATATTATATATTTATATATTATATATTATATAAATATTTATATAATGAAATATACAATAAATATTACAAATTGAAATATTATATAAACACCATATTTATAATATTTATAATTAATATTAATGTCTATTATATATGTTAAATATTTATATATTATATATTTATTTATTTATACATATTTTAAATATTTTAATTTTATTAAAAAATATTTTTATATATTTATAATATATTTACATAAATATTATATATTATATAAATTATATATAATATAATATAACATATATTATACATATATATATATATGTACATTTATACATAATATATATTAATGTATATTTATAATATACATTTATATTATGTATTATATATAATATAATACATTTATACATTTATATTAATATACATAATATTAATTTTACATTTATACATAATATTAATATATATTTATAATATATTCATTTATGCATTTATATAATATTCATTTATAATTTATACATTTATAATAATATACACTTATACATTTATAAATATATTTATATTATGTATTATATATAGTATAATACATTTATATATTTTTATATAAATATACAAATATATTTATTTATAAATATTTATAAATGTATTATAAATGCAAAAATGTATATTTATATAAGAATATAAAAATTATAAATTATAAATTTTAATTTATACATTTATACATTTATATAATATTCATTTATAATTTATACATTTATACATGGGATAATATATTTATATTATGTATTATATATAATATAATACATTTATATATTTTTATATAAATATATTTATTTATAAATATTTATAAATGTATTATAAATGCATAAATGTATATAAATATAAAATATAAAAATTTTAAATTTTAAAAATACTCTAAAATATGTTTTAAAAATACCTCTAAAAATAATCCAAAAAAATCTACAGTAAAAGATTTTCATATAGTTTTTGAAAAACAACCCCAAAAAAGAACTAATCCAAACGGACTTGTATTTCAAAAACGAAATGCTACAGTGCTGTTTTTTAAAAACAACCACAAAAACAGCTAATCCAAACGGAGCCGTGGTTAATCTACAGATATAGCATCATCAATTCTGGTAGTGATTTGATGGGTTTACTAAGAATTTATTGCTGAGCAGAGCACGAGACGTCGATGTCTGATTAGCCGCCTTCATGAGGATGAGGCTAGTTTTGAGTTTCGGGTGTGCTTGTAATTTGTAAACCTTCTGATCCGTCACAGCCGGGCAGCCCGTCCAATTCAACTGTTTGGGCTAACGGTTGGATTCTGTGGTGGACACCTGCTGATGGAGAAGCTTTCAAGTTTCATCTGAAGCAAAAGCAATTCCTATTAAGCAGTTAAAGTTAGAGGTGGAAAAGGAGTTAAGCTACTAGATATTTTAACTGCAATTTACCTGCTGTGCTGTGTAGTTCAATTTTGGTTTGAATTTCGCTCAATTAGTTTAAAATTTTAAATTTTCATGTACAAAATTTAATTTACTTAATTTCGAATCAATAAAAGCTCATTTGAAATTGATTTTATAGTTTCAAGGAGATTATCTCGAAAATGTCTTTTCAAATTCCTATAAACTCTTATTTATTTGACATCTAGTCGATCCCGTACAAACACGTGTCCTATCTTCTTTGGAAATCTTAAACAGGATGATCTGTTACATTCTATAGATGAACATTAACTAAGGTACTGTTTGCCACCAAAAACCTAAAAATATCCTCCTCCATTCGCTTATTTGAGGTAACTAGTGAGATCCCATGTAATTACTCTATTCCAAAAAATTTATATATTTTGGTACTAAAATATTTTGGCAAATGTCAATTGTTCACATCGTACCATTTTTCTCTTCTTCTTTTGAAAGTGGTCTTTCAAAATATTATATTTACGCTGAAACCATGGATCTAATAATACTTGTTAAAATACTTTTTGAGCTTTTAAGATACTATTGGTGCCATAATGTCATTCCACTAAAGTCATAATATTATAATTTTTTATAAACAAAATAATATTGTCATTTAATTTTAACAATTGAAAAGATGAGATTTGACCAAAATACTAAATATTTTGACATAATTTCAATAAATTCTGATTACTTCTTGTACATTTTTTCGTATTCTACAAGCAATTTGTATTAGTACAGTTAGAACATGCTGATTATTTATAGCCTTGAATGCTGATTATTTTTTCTTTGGATATGAATTTTTTGTTTTAATCATGGATGTAAATATTCCACCGTAATTATTCCTAATTTATGGTTGGTTTTTTGATAGAATCAAGAAAATTTTCCTTGCATTCGTTTCATCAGCATTAGCAGCATACTAGCTAGTATGTTATCCTTCATGTTTGCTATATTCAGACAGTTTTTAATTGTCTCGAAGTTCTTTCTTCAGACTGAAAACTCTTTCTTTATTTCGTCTCAAATAAGTGTCTCAACCTTTTCTTCCTCTTTGTTTAGGCAATTGTGGTACCCCAAACACAGGACGGGAATCTCAATATATATATGGTAAGAGAGACAACCGAACTCTATCATAAACAGCTGTTGGAAGTTTGAACGACGGCAGGAGCATCTAAAAGCTTAAGTTAGTTAAGGTTTCAAGACTTCACGTTAACAGCTAGACTTTGCATAAAACCAGGCTCTCAACCCTCCCATAATTTCCTCCAAAATCATATGCAAAATGGCCTCCCTCCCATAAACAATCACATTCTCAGAAACACCTCTGCATTTTCCCAAAAACATTTGAGTTCTTTACTTTTTACTGGATCGATTCGATTGGTCCCTCTTAAAACCGTGTACATTGCAAATGTGAATTAGTGGTACATTTTCAGTAGCCTGATGAAGAAGTGGTCCCTTATCTGCAACCAAGTACATTACTAAATTCACTGAATCGAAGTCCTAAGCTCGTATAACCTCACAGGTGTTTGTCATGTTCATCTGCAGTTTGCTGTCAACATTAGTTGCCTTTCGTGCGCTGGACAATTCTGTCAAAACCATCAATTTTCCTTGCTATGGCCTGTTATGTGGTTGATTCTAGAAATTATTGATGTAAGAGGCCTGCAAAAAGAGTTGCATCTGAATCCTCTCCTGATGCACAGTGTTCCTTTTTTTTTTTGTTTTTTTTGGTCACAACGATAATATTTGTATAAACTACTACTCTAGTCTAGTACAAGGGAAGGGAAAGTCGACGAAATTTTTCGTCACAGTTAAGTAGCAAGATGGGAAGCAAGGATTGAACCTTGACCTCCCAACATATACTATTGATTCCGGATTAGGGATGACTAATGTCACATCCTAAAAGAATAAATAATACGTGTCAAGAGGGCTAAAATGGATTCATAATTGATGTTACAATGCCGGAAATTGCTAATGCACGACATGATGATTGTAGCCAGCATTACCAGCCCACTTGAATAAATGAGATTCTCAGTTTGTTGTTATAGGTTAATAGGCTTTTATCCTATGCTGTGATGTCTTTGAATTCTTCTGATTATCAAATTAAGGAGTGATTTTATAGGCTCTAAGAATAAAGGTAATTGCATGATTTATACAAATCTTGAACAGGATTCACTCTATGTTGATTAGCTGTCTTGATTAAACAATTAAGAGCCCTTCAAATCTTAATGCAGGCTTTTCAAGAACTGGACATGATATCTACCACTTGCAAATATTTCGAACTGACAAGAATACCATCCCCAGGTCTGGGAGTAACACGATGCAGCATTGAAGAACCGAACATTTCTTGGAGGGCATAGTTGCCAACAGAAGATTCTATGATCAGTAGATATCCTTAATGGCTTTGATTTAAGGGGGAAAACACAGCCGCACACTCACATGGGGATCAAATTAGGCTCATGTGGCCACATGCCTAGGACTTCTCCCATGTTATTATGATCTTTGTAAGCAGGGTCAAAGAACTAAAGCTTACCTTTCTTTGACCGATGAAATCACTAATCTATTGCCAATTTGCTAATTGCTATAGAGAACCCTATAATTGCATCCTGTTTTAGAGCCTCTTTATCTCTCTCTCTCAAGTCCATGAAGGTGAATGACTCAGCCTAATCCAATCTTTGTACTTTGAGGGCCGATAATGAACTTTTGCAGACCTTGCAGCTAAAGACCAAGTAGGCATGTTCTGATAAAAGGACGCTTGCAAGATTTGGAGGATACAAATCAGTACACTGCAAATATGGACTTCTGTCCTTGAAAGGCTAAAAGTTTTATCTTCTGGAAAAGAATTAAAAATGTAACAAGCATGGCAAACTGGAGCTGTGTAAAATCCAAAATGCTTGAAATCTAATCCTGGAGCCAGAAAGATCCATGAAGGCCACAACCCACAAGTACAGTAAATAGCCAATTGCAGAGAGCTTTTGTCCTTTAGTTCCCAAAGGCGAGTCCATGTGCCGTTCCCATATTCTAAATACAACCAAAGCTCAATTGTTTCAACTTAACCAGACCAATTGGTTTTTATATTCTCACCGTACCAAACATTTACCAGCAATTACAAACAAAACCTGGGATTAAATATACGAAAGAACCTTTTCAGGCACCCCTCCTCTTTATAAAGCACCCGAACTCATGCAAGTTAAACATAACTCAGTCACTTCTAGTTCTCCCCTCTTCTTTCTGCTGCAGCAGTTAACTAACATAAATATGGTTTCTCTAGAAGCCTTTCAGGCGACCTCCGCGGCCCTTGAGCCAACCTCAAGCCCCAGAATTTCTTTCTCTGCTGATTTTCTTGATGACAGAAATTTTATATCTATTAGTCCAAAACCTCCCCCAGAAAAGGAGCGTGAAAAGGCAAAAGATATTAAAGAGAAGACGCGTAATGCAGAATTTGAGTTTCTCTCAAACAATTTAACCAGTGATTCCATGATCACTGCTGACGAGTTGTTTTTTGAAGGTAAGTTACTCCCGTTTTGGCAAATGCATCACGCTGAAAAGCTTAACAAGTTGAGCCTTAAAACTGAACAACCTGAAGAGGGAAGAGATGAAGCAGATGTGATCAACAAAGAAGAGCCAAGAATTAGCTGGTTCCTTGATGATGATCCGTCTCCTAGGCCACCTAAGTGCACTGTTTTGTGGAAAGAGCTACTAAGGTTGAAAAAACAACGGGCTTCATCTTTGTCACCATCTTCATCTACTTCCTCTTCTTCCTCCTCCTCTTCGGGTTCTCTTGCTGATATGCATCCAGCAGATGGAAGCAAAGAAAGTGCAGTAAATAGACAGAAGCATGTGAAGAGGATTAAGAAAGGGTTGGAGAGGACTAGATCAGCTAGCTTAAGAGTTAGACCTGTTATTAATGTGCCAATTTGCACACAGGGAAAGAACAGTGCACTCCCTCCTCTGTTTTCCATCAGGAAAGGAAGATTAGAGAGGTAGAAAACGGGGAAGAGGAATAGTACTATTTTGTTGTTGACTTGTAGAAAGAGTGAAATATTTTTTTCTGTTCTCATTTTTGTATGCTATCTTGTGTGACGTTTAGACTAATTTCTCTTCAAGTGCATCTGTTGAATTATATTCTAGATGCTGACTTAATATCGTGCAATGCAATATGAATTAGTTCCATCTTTTTCTGCTTTCTTTCGTTCTGTAGTTTCTTCCTGAAGAGACAGAATACCAGATTTCCAATTTTTTTAAAGATGTTTCTGAGGGATAATTTTCCGGCTTTACCTCAAATGTCAACAGGAATCTAATCGAGAGTATTAGTCTAGCAGTTAGCCCTGAAAATAATTTCAATAATAGAACTAATTACGTTTGCTGGCAGAAGATAAGAGGTTGCCTACTCAGGAATACTAAATCTTTAATCCGTCTTCTTTTATGAACTCTTGGGCCAGTTCAATGCAGAAAAAGATGTTCTTAGTTTCTCTCTCTTCTGCAAAGATGCCCAACATTAGCATTGCTCCCGCACTGGTCTTACCAAAGCATCTTTTGTTTCCATAGCAAATGAATCAAGACCAAGAACGATATCAAAATCTTCACAGAAAGCTAATAAAAATTCAAATACCATACAAAGATGCTACTAACTAACGTCACAACAATTTCAGAAAAATTAATTACAGAGTATTTGATTCAGATTACAACTGTGCAAATTCCATTTCCTTCAAGAATGCGGATTGACACAAATTGGTGTCATCATACCGAAAAAAAAAAAATGCGTCAGCGCTACCTCTGATCTGTATAATCCCATATACAAGCAGCATTTCCCAAAAAAAAAAAGATGTTCAGTACTGTGAGAATAGTCCACAAACAGGATCCCATATGCAAGACATAGACACGCAAGTGTTCGTTTTACTGAATGAAGCAGAAAGGTCGATCACAAATTTGTACACCCAAGTTTCCATGGTGACTGATTTATGGCAACCTCTATATACCAACAATAAATAACAGGAAACGGGCAGCTTTTAGAAAATGCCGGTACAGTCTTGGTTGTTGGACCATAAGAAGATACATTCGCTTGGGCTCTTATGAAGCAGGTGGTGGCAAAAATGGATTGCCGGAAACCCTGAGAAGAAAAAGAAAGTTTAATTAAAGAACTAAACACCTAACCCAAGTTCAATCAAGAATATAATAGAAAAATATACAAGGAAATGGTGACTTACTTAAGGTTCAGCCCAGACTTCCCAACAAGGTTGCTTGGTACTGTTCCAGTCAGATTATTATTTTGCAAGAAGCTGCCACGCACAAATACCACAGAAATTAAGTGGATGAAAGGTCATAATCTTTAACCTGCTCTCCGCTTAAAAAGAGTCGATATAATTATTCATTTTTTGATGAGTACAGTAAGTCTAGATTATGGAAACAGCCTCATAAAAATTCAAGCGTTTTGTTCCCTCCACCAGTAATAAGTCAAAATACCACTGGATCTTCAGACATTATTTAAGTCTTAATCAATAGTTAATATATGCAGAAGCAACTCGAGTACCAAGTATGCATCACGCTAACAACACTAACTCTAGTAACAAAAGCTCCTCATATGAATTTGAAGAGTACAACAAAATATGATAAGAGTAAATAAAGTACAATTTTATAGGCTAGCACTTCTTTACACCATGACAGACAAGCTAATCGGAGATAAGCATTGCAGCACATTTGCATCAAAAAGGAAATGTCTCAGGAGAACCTTCTTTCCTTTGTTACAACCATATATGTGTAAATAGTGTGGTTAAATTTAACTCCTAAGATGTCATGGCCATCCAATGAGTAAGTCACAATACTGACAGTGGAACACGAGAATGCAAAATTAATGTTTGATCTGCATATAGTATAATGCTCCCCAAATGTAGGTATTATTTCCTGTATGTAAATAAGCAGATAAAAGGAACAAAATTATCTTCAGATAGAAATGATAAGCATTCACAGGTACTTGAAAGCCAAAGCTGGAAGGCATAAGTAGTTCTAGTTTCCCATTTTTCCACTATAACAGAAGAACTGTTACAGTCAAATGGTCTTATTGTCACTAGTCACAACCAAAAAATGTTTCATGATGCATGTTTTCTTTGATCACTAATGAGCCTGCCTTTGTTGATGAAAGAGTTGCCTTCTAGAATACCATTGGTAATTGTGAAGCTACCATCGATAACCCGAGATGTTGCACAAGATATGTGTAACTATACAATGATAGGGTATCTGAAAGTTGCAGGAACTACAAGCAAATTAAGGGGGGCTTCTTGCTCTATTTTCTCATGCAGCACTTTCTCAATAGTATTAATGGAAAATTTGAAGCCCCCAACTCTAACACGTTTCTAAAGGTCTAGCTAGTATGAAGGTTTAGTATTTTACTTCTTTTGTAAGTCTAACAGAGAAACTACCATTTAGCTGCCGTGACAAAAGTCTGAAGAAAAGTGTATATATGGCCCATACAATGTAGTTGAAACATATATTTCATAACATAAGCTTCTGTTTCACGATCTCGCACTTAAGCATCTAAAACATATTGTCGACACTATTAATCCATTTAAAACTACCAGGACAAATGACAATGACCCATCTACCAGTCAAAAGCAAAGAAAAAACCCTAGTCTAAATGATACTATAAGGTTAAACAATCTTGTACAAAGAATATGTATAAACCTTATGCTAATGAATATTCAAGCTCATGTAGTTAAATTAACCTATTTCCTAGCAACCTAATCTTCTAAATATTGTGGTGATTCATTAGAAACAACTTTTAAACACAGCGTTCTGGTTCGTTGCCATCTAATGACTAAAAGGGTTTACCTACCTAGCATCTAGATTTTCCCTGACTATGCAATTGGAATGGCATCAGCCATGATTGCTAGGGGTAAACTAGTTCAACATCAGTAACCTGGTAGAGGATTTATAGGAGGTCTTCAAGGTAGGATGAATATATCAAGACACATGCATGCATGAGTGTGCATCAGGCGATTGTTCACATGGCATATAATGCACAAACAAGGCAGAGAAGTGAATATCCATCTACATGTGAAAGAAATCTGAGCCCTAAGCATGATAAGCATAGAACTCACAGTTCATGCAAATTTTGAATGTTTCCAAGGGATGAGGGAATCTCTCCACTGAGCTTATTGTCCTCCAGATGCCTGAAATAAAATATTTGGTCCATCAGATTTTGGAGACAGCTAGAGCATAATGAAGATTGCTTAAAGTATGAAAGGCAAATCTACTCTTGAAAATTATCTTGAAGGATTGAAAGAAAAAATCAAGACCACTGACATCAAAACAAAAGAGCCTCAAGTTACAGAATTTATATATCAGAGCTGCAAATTGCTAGCTGCATAAGAGAACCTAAGAAAACTATGGTCTTGGATATTTTACCAGACACCCTTAATACCTCACTCTATCAATTCTTGAGAAATCATGCTCTTCAATCCAGCAGATAATATCTCACCAGATGAAAAAGAGGTGAGGAAAGAAGATGAGATCCTACTCACAGAATTTCCAGTCTCTTCAGTGAAGAAAGGTTGGGTATAGATCCTGTCAAACTATTGTTTCCAAGCAATCTGTCAAACATTAAGAGATTGTTTAGCAAAGAGCATAAATCTCTTTGTCCTAGTGCAAAAAGAATAAACCACTTACATGCCAGACAATGCTGTTAAACTGGATATGTTTGGTGAGATAGATCCCGAAATGCCCATATTCGTTAGGTTTCTGTTGACAATAAGGATGAAAGACTAAGGCATGATATGAGGTTGAGTCTGCCATTTTTATTCATATTAAGTTTGAGCTTACAAGGTGGTAACTCGAACTTTGGGACCTTTTGAGCATGAAACTCCAGTCCAAGAGTATTGACGTGGTAAACATGGATCACCGTTCCAATCAAGTGGAGGGTTCTTAATACTCGCCTTTATTCTTTCCATAGCAATTACTGCAAAATACAAATTTACATCATTTAGAGATACACAAAGTGCTCAATCTAGAGAAAGAAGAAGAGCAAACTTCTTGAAAACAAAATGAGAACCATATGACCAGCCACCATTTTCTAGCACTGAGAAGAAAGTAAACTCTGCAGGTTGACAATCTTGTAATAATATTAAGCCAGCTGCCACATAGCAGATTGCTTCATCTTAGAACAATTAGATCAAATCTGAACATCAGCATTCCCCCTTCCCCCTCCTTCCCATTTCTTCTTTCCTCTCCACCCTTTGCTTCCACAGGATTAAAAAAGGAATACAAGAAAATAACTTTCTGATGGGTAGATTCTACGTGAGCAAAAATTAAAGTCATTTAAATGAATAAATAAATTAAAAATATCATCAAGAATTTCATTAGTTTGCTAAGCCCCCAAAGATAATCTCTTTGAAATTGACTCAACCAAAATGCATCCCATTGAGCAGCTAGAATGCATGAAAAGAAATTAGACAAATGGTTACAGGTTATTAGCTGTTTATTTCCTTTAAGGCAAGAATAATAACTCATAGTTAGGAGCCAAACCATCTCTTGTAAGAGTTCTTCCGCCAAGATTCAGAACTTCAAAGACCTCTCCAGCATTGATTAGAGGACCAATTGCCGAGCCAGTAGCAGGAGTCAAAGTTATATTTGTTAAGCCAGCAAGAGGCCACTGGTTTGCAAATACAGCTTCACCGGCTTCAGTCACAGCCAGATTCGCATAATACATAATGCCATTAACAGTTATGTTAAACACTCTTGGGCTCGCCGAAGGAGAAACACGATCATCAGCGAAATAAAGAGCAATATAATAGGTTGAGTTTGGGAGAGACGTTAAAGGCCACTGCAACTCCAAGGGTTTGGGTTGATTGGTTCCTAGATGCGTCTGGAATACTTTAAGTGGTGGTATATTCCAGAAACCAGACACAGAGACATTCCTGGAAGATGGTGTGGTGGAATTATCTTCTCCAAATGGCTGCCAATACCGATCAAATTGATCATCAGGATACCTGCCATATTCTAATGCTTATGTCAGCACATCAACAATATGCATACCAAATACTAAAGTCGATGATATTTCCTTTGCATTTACTTGAAGGAATCAACTGACGCATTAAAGCTGCTAGCCACTCAAAAAATGAACCAAAAAAAAAAAAAAAAGAATTGTGCAGTAACACTAGTTTGATTGTAAAATCAGCAAAAGA